TCGCAGGCTACTTTTTCTGTGAAGAATCAAGACATTTTAAATGATGATGCATTGCATTTTAAGCTCGCAAGATCTGTCTTGAAGATCGCATCATTTGAAGTATTTTAACTCCACTTTCATGAATTTAAAAAATGCTAGGCTAGTTTTGAATGCGAAAAGCGAAATCTTCGTGTTCACGTCAGTGATTGTTTTGTGATAAACAAAATATAGTTCACCTTGTCGCTTATATTTATATGCTTATAAGTAATGAAGAAATATCTAAAATTGAGAAAACATACCTTTAAAAACAACTGCAACTTTCTCTAGTCCCTGACAGACAAGCCATTGTTCGACAAACACCTCGTCTTTCCCGATGAACTCATCCATGGCATTTTCCAGAACACGTGTGTCGAATGCTCGGGGGTCGCCCCGGGGTACGCAAATGCCCAGCCCCCGGGCCACGATAAAATTGCGGATGCCCCACCCTCGGGACTGACAACGTGAGCAAATGCCCCGCGGTTTCCCGGGGGGGGGGGAATGAGCACTGCTGGAATTGACTGATGCATAACCGCTGACTAAAAATAACAAAAACGAAAATTATGACTGAGGCAAGTGCCTCGATTTGCCTGTTACTAGCAGTATAAGAGAATAGGACAAGACAAGAGAATAGGATCATAATCTCTTGCTATTGAATGATTTCAGAGATCTCGGTAACATATGTTCAACAATCGCACTTCATGATTCAGGGCCGTAGCTAATAGCGGCCCTGAACCAGGAAGTGCAATTATTGAAAAATATGTTACTGAGATCTCTGAAATCATTCAGTAGCAAGAGATTACGATCCTATTCCCTTGTCAATAGCTAAAATTAGTAACCAGAATACATGAGCTCAAGGGGACTGAAAGACGCAATCTAAAATAATGTGATATATGATTTTTAAAGCAAAAATAGAATACCTCAGCAGAGAAAAGCTCGCTCTAAACCTACCTTGCATGCTTCTGTTTTCTTATTCCGCATGCAGAGGTCTTCTGTAAAATCTGCACGTATCCTAATATGATGTTTATTTTTAAAAAAAATTTTTAATATTATGAACGCTTCCAACTCGAGACTACTGATCAAACAGAGATCCCGAATTTTTAGCATGCCTGATTTTACGTTACTAACCAATAATTCTAAGCCACCTTTGGCTTGGGCAGTGATGGCGTATCCAGGTTTGGGAGTTTGGATGCAATTGGAGCCGTACGTGGAGATCGCCAAGATATAACCTTTACCATCCTCCATAATTTTGATCGATCTTTCCACCATTCGAATAAAACACTTGGGATATATATCTTGAAAATAATCATAGGCAGAAAAATCGTCAAATTCGCCAGAGCCGATAGTTTTCTTGTAACTCGCAGCGGCCTTTTTAGCTTCGTCAGTTTCAGCTATGGATGTCACGCCGATCGCGGCGCCAGCGTTATGAACGAGAGTGTTGAGCTTGTTTCCAAAATTCTTCTCCACGCATTCAAAGATTGCATCGACAGTTTCAGGTTGAACTAAATCTCCTTTCACAAGGAACACTGAGATTCCATACTTTTCCTCCAGGACCTTCTTCGATTTTGTCGCGCGCTCCGTGTTCGAGTTGTAGGTAAGGATCAAATGCGTGTAGCCGTCCTTCGCTAGCTCCTCGGCTGCATCGAATCCCAGACCTCGGGTGCCGCCGGTGATGATGCCGTACATGTTGAGACTTCAAACGCCCTTGCTTCAAATGAAAAGTTATTCAGCAATTGAAAGAACTAGGAAATTTTCGCAACTTCTAGCAAGACTGTCTACGTGGGCTCTGGCGTCCGGTTCGGCAGGTCGAAAACCAGTTCAAGATCGAATAGCTGGTTTTCACATGACGTCACTAAAATTCGAACTACAAAATTATTGATCTTCCTGAGATTTTACT